CATTTCAAAAGATTTATCTACTTATCTCTATTTATAAAATAGTAAAAAATAAATCTAATTTAAAAAAGGTTAGAAAATTCTAAACTTAATTTAAATATGATTAAGAAAATTTAATTATTTAGAAATATGTGGTATAATTTAAATGAGATAGTGAAAAGTAAACCTAATTTAAATAGGAATTGAAAAAATCTAATTATTTGTAAATATGTGAAATAATTTAATTGAATATAAAATAATATAAGACATAAATATGAGAATAAAATATATAAATATTTGATAGACTTTTCTAAAAGGAGTTTTGTACTGACATCTTAATTTTATTTATTATATAAAGCTAGACACGTGTCAAGTCGGTTAACCAGATTTGACACGTGTATACATGTAATATAATTTTTTCAATTAGATTTAATCATATGTAAAAATATTTATCTATTTATCTTTATTTGTAAAATAGTTAAAATTAAACCTAATTTAAATAGGATTAGAAAAATCTAAACCTAATTAAAATAGGTGAAAAATAATTCTTTTCAATTAGATTTAGGTGATGTGAAAATATTTATCTTTATTTGTAAAATAGTAAAAAAAAATAAACCTCATTTAAATAGGATTAGAAAAATCTTATTATATAGAAATATGTGAAATAATTTAATTAAATATCAAATAATATAGGGAGATTAGCTAGAATAACCTTTTTTTTTAAATAGTTAGAATAACCTTACTATTTTTTTATTGCTGAAATAACCTATTCTATATTTTTTTTCTTTCATAATACCAAAATTGTCCTTCATAGACTCTGCCGAGGTATTGGCAAACTCTGCCGAAACATTGGCAGACTCTACCGATGTATTGGCAGACTTTGTCAATATCTAAAAATACGCAGACTCTGCCAAAACATTGGCAGACTCTGCCGAGGTATTGGCAGACTCTGCCGAAACATTGGCAGACTCTACCGATGTATTGGCAGACTTTGCCAATATCTAAAAATACGCAGACTCTGCCAAAACATTGGCAGACTCTACCGATGTATTGGCAGACTTTGCCAATATCTAAAAATACGCAGACTCTGCCAAAACATTGGCAGACTCTGCGGAAACATTTGTAGAATCTACCGATGTATTGACAGACTCTGCCAATATCTAGGAATACGCAGACTCTGCCAAAGACAATTTTGGTTTTATGAAAGATAAAAAATCTAGAATATGTTATTTCAGCAATAAAAAAAATGGTAAGGTTATTCTAGCTATTTTTTTTTAAAATAGGTTATTCTAGGTAAATTTTTCAATAATATAAGAAATAAATATAAAAATAAGTTAGATAAATATATGATCGATTTCTCTACCAATATATTTGTACTGACATTCTCAATTTTATTTTTTTCACTTCATGTAAGTGACCTAATTTTGTCTTACGTTCTGTTTGTGTTTGATTTGTTTTACGGGGGTTATAAAATATTTAGAGACTTAAAATAGTTCAAATACAAATATGAGAATAGATTTATCAGTATTTTGAAATATAGATATATTTAAGTAGTAAAATAGAAAAATAAAATAGAAAAGTACATTTAATTTAAGTATGAATAAGAAAAACTAAAAATTTGAAAAAATATGTGATAAAATATAATAATAAAACATCAAAATCAATAAATAAATATTATGCTTCACATTTAAAACAAAGTTTTCACTTATATTTTATTTACTTTAACGGGTAATATAATTTTGTTCTGTATAATTAATTTTTTTTCCCAGGTTTATAAGAGATTAAATTACAGAACCCGCATATATGCAGGTCCTTAATGTAGTATATAATAAATGTTCAAAGCATATCATTGTATCATAGTAGTCCTAGTGGATATAAGATATGCATGGTAGATAATTCGAGAAATAGAGCCTAGACAACGGGAGAGTATTTGGTCTCAGAAACAACTTCAAATTCGGCCTCGACATTCAATGAGTCATCATTGTCCAAATAAGCCCTCCGAAGTTTTGCTAAAGACAAGAATCGAATAATACCCCACCCTCCGCCCCGACTCCTGTTACCAATTGTCAACTACAAGAAAAATCGGAATAAGGTAAGCTCATTATTTAAGACTTGAAACAAGAAAAACTGATTTGATGTGTATCGAAGGAACAAATCATATAGATAGTGTTTTACGACATACTGTACTTGTATCTGTAATGTCATTGGAACCTTGTGGATCTCTTACTCGAAGATGCGCTCGTACATAAATCTTTTCATCCGCCGTTAGGGTTTCATCGTAATCTAACTTCAGATAAAAGGATAGCCATTTTCCACCTGCTGCTTTTTCACCCTTCGGATACAACCTTAGAGTCCTAGAGAACATTATCAACCACCCGTTAG